TTCCTGCTGGCAAGCTTATTTGGGGGAATAATTAAATAAAACATTTCTTAAATATTATGAATAAACCAACACAGAAACATTTTTTTTTCTTGGCTCTATTTACTACTTTACAGGGTAAAAAAAAAAATCAATGAAAACAATTTATGTGGAGAAGTTTTCCATTTTCTCCCAAGCAACACAAAAAGAACTGCTCTATTTAGTTTAGTCATTTAATACCTACTACTCCAGCAACAGTAACCTGATTCAACAGATCACCATTTACACCTCTTCAGGGGATTTTTTAAAGTCCAGTTTTACAGTAGTGCTCTGCCCCAGGCACTACTCTGCACTACTCCTTAGCTCTCACCACCAACCACCTGATTGCTACAGAGCCTCTGTCCCTGGGCTTCTTCAAGAATACACCTGAAAGCTCTTGTTTTCTGGAACAAAAGACAACTTCAAATCCATGGAAATGATCACAAAAATGAATTATTTTCCAGTCTGTCCTACCCAGCAGTGTGCAAAAGAAGCCTGTGTCTTTGCAGAACATTAATATCCTCTCATTTTATTCCCATCCCAAGTCAGGCAAACTCCTAATGCTTTTGATGTAAGCTTTAGTGGGCTGCATGTCAAGTAAAGGAAATGATCCCAGGAGATGTACAGTGATTATCAGGGTTACTGCAGTTATTTCCGAATGAAAGTATTGGCAAAATGCCAAACATTTTCATAGAAATCACTGTTGTGCTTGCTAAATTACTGTGTTTCTGGTGATTCTTAGGGCTGTATACATATATTAGCAAAACAGAACAACATTTAGTAACAAGTAGAGGTTCACTTAGGTCACACAATGTTGAATCCAACCCTGAAAAGCACAGAGATCCTATTTCTTGATTCCTCTTTTTTGGCTCTCTTCACTGTGACTAATGCTCTCCACAACACCCTTCACACAGCGTGTTTCTTAAACTTCCTTTTTTCTGATAGTAAAACAAATTAAAACCACAGCTTCTTAGAACTTGCCCCAAACTTTTAATGATGGTGTCATAAATGCTTTACATTAACAGACTGGCACACCTACATTTCCTATGTTCTGACCATATGGAAGTTAATAAACTTTCGATTCACTACAGATTGTTGAATGGACTGTGAAGATTTTGAATAAGAATGGAAGTCTGATAAAAATAAAAAAGGTTTACTTTTCAAATGTCTGTAACCATATCTGACATACAGAACATTAATTATCTCATCCTTACTCTTTGTTTCATTTTTTTAATCATTCTTGTAAGGTCAGGAAAAAACATGTTACTCCTAATACGAACCTCAGAGAAGAAATTGATTTCTAACAATATAGATAAACATGTTGTTGTCTGTTAGTAAAGAGTTTCATAAGACTAAATTATTATGACAAGGAAAAATGACTTTAAACTGGTGTCATCTTCAAGTTTTCTTTATTAAATCCTACCTTCTCCATGGTGAACAATTTTCATCAGATGATAGTCTGATGACTATCATCATTTCAGCAATGTTTTCTGGACAAAGATATAGATGAGTTTACAAATACTTCCAGAAGAAGAAAGACCTCTTGCATATAGGGAGGACCTAGTCTTATATTTTAACCCAACTTCTACAAAATAATTACAAAAAGTGGGTTTCTACCATTAGGGTAGTGTTAAGAGCAATAGAAACACAGTCAGAGAATTCCCTACTTTGAGCAATACTTAAGTTGCCACCCAAAACCAAAGAGTTTTATAAAATTATTAATTTGGGGCCAAACACAATAGAAGCCAGACAGTCTTCAGAAGCTGTAATAATTTTAATTGCAGATGGAGGGATGATCTTGTTTTCACTTCTCTGATTTGACTATTACATGACTGTAATTCATTAATTCAGGGTCAGACAATGAGCCTTTGAGCAATTATTCGCATGACTGGTTTCATAGAATTCAATGTCCTCATTTAAAGTGCCATTAAAATGGTACATGGTTGCATCTAACTAAAGCAAACATTAGTTCACTGCAACACACAACAGGTAGCACTGCAAAGTCTCTAATCTCAGCCACTGACTATTGAGAAAAATGAGAAAAGAAAATGGCTTCATGAATTTGGCTTGTTTCAGAAAAGATTTTGCTGAAAAAACCCCAAGCCTTATACTATATTCGGGAAAACAGAAGGCTTGGGTTTTTTCAGAATTTTAGAGAGGCTGCTTGTCACAGTTTGGTCAAATTCAAGACAATGCCAAGGGAAAAGTCTGAGGTCCAACCCTAAAAATACTTAAGCATTACACTGGATAAGTGTAAGGAGGAAGCAAACATTGAATCTGCCAGGCACACAGGCAACTCAGTCCCACGTGTGTTCTCACCTATGGCAGCCGCCTCAGCCAGGCATCTTGTGCAGAATGTATATAAGAAGTAATATGAATCTCTGTTTAAGTACAGCACAACCCCCGTTCCACTTGTTAGGGGAATTAGACATTCTCTCATTCCTGGTCATATCTCCTAGTCCAACACTGTTACAGTATATAGATTTTTAACTCAGATAAACAAAATGTCATTATGTTTAATATGACAATTAAAAAGCTGGATCTAAAGAACATATTTTCTACCTGTCTCTTTAACTTTCCCTATTGCACAGCTTATGACCAAAATTTTTCAGATAGGTTTAGGATGCTGCCTGAAAGATGCCATAAAACCCTGAGTCACAAGCTAAATGTCTGAAATCACCTCCATCTGCACATTTCTTTCATATATTTTTGGAGAACACGTGGCCAAAAGAGAGAACAGAAGAGGCAGAGACACTACTTGATTTCTTCCACACTGGAGTGGTTTGCATGCCTTGCTGAAGACACGCTTCATTTTGCCATAGTACTGCAGAGATGGATTTGGAAAAACATGCTATTCCCTGGCTTGTCTAGCAGCCTGGTGATTTGTTCCACACAAACAAAAATATAAATACCAATACCTGGCACACAGGCATTGCAGGAGTCTCAAATCTTTGCAAGTAAGATACCAGCTAGGCCTAAAAGTCACTGCATATTTCCTTGCTCATCAAGAATAGAGTATTCAATACCTTTTAGAGAGATATGTCCTTCATGGCTGAAGATAAAGGCTAATGAGGCTGGAATTAGCATAGATTAACATCATCTAGTTTTAAAAGGTGTTGAGGGAGTATGAGTCTAATCCAAAACCCAGAATTCATGCCTTTCATCACCATCCCACAGTACCACACCTGAAAGGATCCTCCCCTGCCTGATGTTAATTTGAGCCAAAACATTAATTCACTCCCCAGGGAGCATTTCTTTGCTCTGTTCTGTACTGAGATATGTATAAATCAGACTGACTCTATTAGTTCTGTAGTTGGCATGCAAATGCCAGGTACTCCTGGAACTATTAATTGCCATTAATACGGGACTCTGTAGTGGACAACACAGAGGTGTAGAGATCTTATTTCTTAATGTATTTTTTGTAGGCAGTGATGCTCTGTGGTCAGAAAAAGATGTTCCTCCAGTGAGTGATTAAGATCAAGCACCTAACTCTGTATTCTGATGTGAACTTTGCAGATTAACAAAGCCTGTGAAACTCCTTCTGCCTTCACAAGGGTGAAGTTTGCCTGTACCAGTATCCATTTAGAGGCCCTGAGGACACAATCCATGGAAAAATGTTCCCAAGATAAATTAGGGTTGAGAGGACAAAGGACATCCCTTCTGTAAAGTTATTTGATAGGTGTTATTTTCACAAATGATAATGCTCTATGAGTTGTTGTGCCCAGAAAAGGTCCATCCTTCCTCTTCAAATGTGTAATACGTATGGAAATGTAAGTAGTCTTCATTAATCCCTGTCATTTCTTTATAAAAATACATTACAGAATTATAATGGTTTGTTAAGATTATTCCTGTAAAGCATTTCATCTGAAAAGTGACATTTCTTATCTTTGTCCTTGAAACTATTCAAATAAGTGCAACCTGCTATTATGAAAGTTAAGAAATAGAGCCCACCCTTCCTTCAACATGAGACACTGGAGAAACTACTACATGGGGAAGATTTGTCTTTTTTAGGTGATGTAAATGGATCTTTAAGCAAGACTTAAAGGACCTTCTAGAGTCTACAGATTCCTCATATCCATAGACCTGCATGGGAATTAGTACCTCCAATGGGTTGTGCACTAGACGTGGTGCTGGACTAGAAACCCAAATGCTATTCAGACCACTTAAAACAGTTGTGTCCCACCACATTGGAACAATTTTCTGTAATATTTCTTGACAAAAAGACAAGCAACTGAAGAGAAAGGCAAGTAATTCACTGATAGTACTGCTTTAGCCTCTGAAGTATGACATGTGCTTGAATGACTCAATGAAATTCTCTGTTATAAAGAGCAAGATGAAATTCCACAAAATACTTACAGTTCTTTGCATTAGTAGAGGAGTTTCAGAACAACCTATCCCTTCATCATTAAAATTTGATTCCATATTGATTATGTCTTCGATCACCTCTTCCATCTGATAAAATAATATTTTAAAATAAGTAATTGTAAATACTAATACAAAATTGTATTCTGAAAATGCAGAGGAAATAAACTTTAGTATTTGTTACAACAATAAAACTGGATTTCAGAAGTCTGTATCTTAAAATTCAAATAATTCAAGCATTTTTACACAATATTCACATTTTTCACTTCTTGAGAAAATAGGTCTTGTGGTTTAACAAACAACTTCTTTCCTTTCAAACACTACCCCATTCCCCTTTTTAACCCCTTGTTGCAACACCAAGATCCAATGACAGGAGCGCACTGCTAAGTTGTAACTGCAATCTGTCACCTTCATCAAATGTGTCATATTCACAGCGTATTACTGCACTGGTGCAGGAAGGCTGAAAGGAACCTGTGGTTCTGCAAGAGCATGAGTCACTCAAGATTTGGTGTTACACACTGCTCTCAAGATTCAACAGGCAGAAGTTTGTGTTGTGTTGGGCAGTACAGTGGATACTTCTCCAGCCTTCTGGTCCCACTTTTGCTCTACTCTGAATCAAGGGCTGCTGAAGCAGATGGGATAGCTAGTTAATTATTGGGGTTAAACAGAAAATACTTTGCAGACGTATACACTTATATAGATTTAGACAGAGTACAGTATGAGTTTTCAATAATAATTTTGGTCTGGTTCCCTTCACAAAATAGTTTTGGAAAAGACCCCATAATGAACCTGTCACTATTAACACTGCTGTATGTAGCAGCACTTGACTTGCACTCTGAGGCCTTTCGAGCAGCTCTTGGAAGCTGTCTGAAGAGCCGCAGCTGAAGGAAATGTAGAGGGTCATATGCAACACAAGGAAATACCACCCGGGCCAGGGACCTTTCGGTACAGACTTTCAGACCACAAGGCCCAGCACAGGTCACATGTGCACTCCTCTCCCTCTCCAAAAACTAGACATGTAATGTCCCAGGAGTTGTGCCCAGACTTATTTAGGAGAGTGCTCTCTGGGCCCAAAGTATGCCAGGAAATGCCAGCAATTAGACAATACGGATGACTACAGTTCAGTGCACCAACCTGTGTGTTGGCTCTGAATTGTTTATGAGTACACCTACAGCATACACTGAAGCACAGGCCACATCTGCAACTAGGAAATGACACTGTGCCAGTCATGTCCCTGAGGCTCTGGGATGGGATTATTCAAATTATTGGAGTGATGCCAGCAAGGACTTTGGCCTCTGACAACTATCACTCTTCTAGTCATCACCAGGCACAGTTCAGAAGAATGGTTTACAAGCAGCCATCTTGCTCTCCAGCACAGAGAGTAGTACCAGGATGGGCACTGATTGTTCCTGGTCAGATACCCAAACTATCTGAGAACAGTTCCAGCACGCTGTGCTTCCCAGCACAGAGGTGACCACAGAGGCCTCCACAAAGGCCATCTGAAACAGCCTTTGCAGAGCAGTGGTTCCAGTAATCCATGAACCTGACATAAGATGTTAAATGTCAATGAAGAAGAAATGGAGGGGCCTCATATGAGCTCTCTAGGAAGTCTTGGGTTTATTTTTTTCAGTTCCCTCATGCTTAACTGCATAACATCCAAATGCTCACAGGGGTCACATTTTTAAGATGTGTATTTGTAAGATTTGTCTGTTTTGTTAAAGCCCAAGATGTGATACAGCATCTCCGTTTCTCATTTCTGTAGGAATTCCCCTTTTACCTAATAAGCAGTCTCTCTTGAAATCTATTGAAGTATTAAAGGCCATAATGATCTACATCTCACACTAGCTGAGAATCTGACATTGTATAATAGCTGTACCTCTATTAAAATCAATGGTGGCACTAAAGTTAGAATATCTATGCCAATTTACCCAAGATAACCCATATATAAATATATCAGCTACCTGAAAAATGAATGAGCTATTCTTTCGGTTATGTCTTTAAAGAAATCATTATTTAACTTTGTTATGCAGCTAGGATAATACTTTTAGACAGAAATAACTCTTGTCTGAAAAAAACGTTTTGCATTGCAAAGTACATATTCAAAAAATGTACAACAATATATGATGCATTGATAAAAAGATGCAACAGAACGTTTTAACTGGCAGGAATTTAGCTCATGCAATAAGCTGTTCATAGATATTCGAGGGAATCACCCATGTAATCCAAAAGGATTCAGGGAGCAACTGCTGCAAGCAAAGGCCTCACAAAAAGTCATCTCTTGCCCACATGACCAAGGTGGGTCATGTCACATTTTTCCCCATTCCTTTCACCAGGCCTGCCCTTACCGCATTTTCATGTTCTCCTCCAAGGGCCAGCAGCTTGGTAACGGGGCTTTCTGGTGTGCCAGTATCACTGACGGGAGGCATGTGTCCGTTTCTTAAAATGGAGGTGACTCCCACAGGCTGGATTGTGTGGGAGTGGGACAGGGAGAGCGTCTGGCTGGATAACTTGGTATCGAGGGTCAGGTACTGCTTCACCTGGTGCCTCTGGCTTTGCTGTATGTGGTATCTAGACTGATTTTCCAAATGTGTTTGTACCTGGGAAGGAATGGAAATAATTGCTAAAATTTAAAGTTACTGGTACCGATATTTACCCATATGTTCACTTAAAAAACTTCAAAACAATACGTTCAGCTTTAATATCACTTAGATAGAATTATTATTAACCTTAAATCTTCTTTTTTTTCAAATTTTGCACCCTTTCATATTTCTTATTTGTGTATTATTTCCCCCTAAAAAAGCTGAATAAACCTCAATAATTATCAAAGAAAAATAGAATTAGAAAAGATAAACATGATCCTGAGAAAAGACCAGAAGTATGCTACACATTTTTCTCTTCTCATTTAAGAATGACCTCTGTGAAATCACTGATCATTACAATCAAATCTACAAGCATATATGCACTCTAAAATTAATATCACAGTGTTTTTACTCATTTGTACTTGAAAAAGCAGATAAATGTATAAAGGAATAATATAACACAATCAACTTCAATATCAACAGCAGCAGATATTCACTCATACCTAAATCCACATTTGGCTCACCTTGTTATAAGTACAGTCAGTTAAATGCGGCATTGCTGCACTTTTGCAAACACAACAAAACAAAAAAAAGAAACCCAACAAAATAGAGTCCAAGCTCTAGTCCTGGATGACTGTTCACTATCCTCAAGGCGTATAGCCTTCTTGAAGTGCCTCTTGAAGACAGATCGCTTTTTGAGTTGGTAGGACTTTATAAACCAAGTGGTCATGCCAAAATGGCTAATTGAGTTAGACTTTGGGCCATCCTTTGATTCCAGAGATTGACAGTTGCTACTTCAAACAGCTCCCATTTCAGATCAATGTCACATTCCTGCAATTTAACTACCAGAGGAGCACTGCATACACCAACCTTACTGTCATTTCAGCCCTGTGGCTTTCTCCTCTTTCTATGGCATGACTGGTCACAAATTTCTTGTAATAAATTTTTCTCAAGTGGCCTCTGTGTAAGCATGATTAATATTTGTTAAATAATAGCAAGACATGCTTTGCAGACTTTTTTCTCAAAAAAAAATTCAGTCATTTAAACAAACTTCTTTTTAATTCCCCTAACAGACATAAGCAGAGATAAATAGTCCATAAAAGGGGTTTGCATTTAAATTAGCTATATTTTTGCACAATATTACAGTACCTACTTTATTTTTAATCATTATGGTAGCATGTCTAGAATTATTTTATTTCCTTTTCTTTAAACTAATTTTCTAGTTATATAAAAAGATTAAGCCATGTAGTAATGAATATAATATTAATTATTTTGATGCAAGCCTTAAATTTATTAAATTATATACTATTAAAATATTGATATAAAATCTTAAATACGCTGTTTAGATTTTCCCCTGTTTTATACTAGGAAGATATGCATCCCATGTAAGATTTTAAAAACCACGTGAGTATTTGGGATTTACTTAAATCATGCTGTCACTTGTCTGAACTGAGATCTTTGTGTTAGTTTTAGAAATTGTATAATGTACTGTTAATTTGAGCTCTGATTTATCACATGTAAGGATACATATAAAACCATCTCAAATTATTCATACTTACGCATCTATGTACTCCAGCTTCAGTAAGACTTAAGCTTGTACTGGAAGACACTCAAGCAGTTTCTTAAATTAGAATCCAAACACAAAATCAAAACCAGTTCAATCAGAGTATCAATCCTGGGTGAAATGTAATGTGCTGAGGGAAAGAAAATACATTTCTTTGCATGGCCAGAACAGGGTTTTGCTGTGCACCCTTGTTTTCTGCTGCTGTTTCAGAAACATCCATGGACACATTGTGCTTGTGTTTGACTCTAGGGTTCTAGGATCCCTGCAGAGTGACCACTACTCAGACCATTGCACTGCCTAAACTGATGAGGGTGTCTTGCAGCAGTGCAGAGCACTGCAATGAACAGCTTTGAAAGCACAACTACTTCATGTGGCATAAACAGGAGTGGGATCAACGCATAGGCTACAAATGCATCTACTGCATTTCACCCCAACTACTTTTTTGTCTTAAATGAAGCTGATAATCACTCCATAATAAGCAATGAATTATTGTCTTTGAAATTCTACAGACCTAACTGAAGCATGAAATCCAACATATCACATATCTTCAAATTAAATGGGAAACATAAGACATTTGCAGTGTTCAAAGTCTATACTCCTTGGTTTAAAAGTTGTTTTTACAATAATAAGGAATTTTAATAAGAAAATGAGTTCTGCCACAAGAAGATTGCTGAAAAGTCAATGGCTTGCTTTTTACTTTCTGTGGGCTTCAAATTGCTAGCAGCCAACTGAAACCTCTGTTTCAATTGAATTGAAACTCAATTTCCCAGTAAACCACTACAGGGCCATCTCATCTGGCAAGGGGAGGATCAGTGAAAGACAATCAGCTAACTGATTAATCAAGTTTAACAGGAGTGCTTATTTTGTATTATATGCTTTGAGTGCTTCTATCCTGTCCACACTGTCCTGAACTTCCACAGAAGGAAAGGAATTCGAAGCTTCATCGACAGAACCAGTTGCTATGGTTTTGCAATCCTCTCCATCTCGTTCACTGTGCCAGTTGCAGTCATTACAAAGCAGAACCACTAAGGTTAAAAAGGAATATATGCCCTGATCAAAAAGTACCTAAAGATGCAATCCCTGCTCATCTTTATATATATAAATAAGTCTCTAGAAGACAATGCTAATAAGAAGTAAAGCACTCTTGAAAGTCAAACCACTATGTAAAGACAAAGCAGAGCTGGACTCCTTAGATAATCATGCTGCTAGTATGTAATAAATGGGGGGAAAAGTTATGGAATGCTAAATAAATACTAAAATTGCAAGTCAAGCTCTCAAAAATTAGAAATTCCTGTTAAAACTACCCATGCAACATGTGTGAAATAAAAGAATAAACTCAAACCTTAATAGTTTTATGAATCCAGGTAGTTCAGTGTCAAATACCAAGTATGATCTGTTTATTCTTCCCTGGGATGCTCGATGAGTTTTATTATTTTATATCAGTAGTATTAAGCTAAGTTTCAGTTTACATTTTCTGAAAATTTCAGATTAAACTCTTTCAAATAACTGTTACCATAATTAAAAATGCTAAATATTGACTTGATTTTGAGCTTCTTTTTAATGGTGTAAAAATAGTGGCTAACACTGGCATAGGTCACCTAGAGAGGTCATGGAATCTCTGCCCTTGGAGTTTTTTAAAACTTGACTGGACAAGGTCCTGAGCAATTCAAGAAGTGAAAGAGATCTAGAAATAGTCCGAAAAAAATGAATTGGTAATCTAAATATTTAAACCCTGGGTGATACTATTAAGTCTGGGAAAAAATGGTATCAGGTTAAGAGTTCAGTGATATAAATACAAAAAGCAAAATAACTGAAAGATCACTCCTACACATATGTAATCCCAGAAGTAAAACAGCCCAGTTTGACATGCACTTAGCTGTTTGGAGACTTTGATCAGTTGAATGCCTTAGAACCACCAGATAAGATCCTTCCATGAAAAAACTGGAAAAAAAAAATATTTTTCAGAGTAGTAGTACCCTTATTTTGCAAAATAATCCCCTTACAGTACCCTCCAGCAGTTCTGGGAGACTAATTTTCTAATCCTTCATCTTTTGAAGAGTTCTCATAATCTGTGTGAAAATTTTGTTAGAGACTATGTGAAATTTTAAGATGAAGGTCTCTCAATCTCTCCATCTAGAAGGCCTCCCGTGTATATAAAATCAAGACCAGGGCCGTGTGATGTTGATGCTGACACACTCTTTACTGCCACAACAATCTGAATGTAGGGTTACCTTCTTTTTTTTTTCCTTTTTCTCAGTCAATTATTGTTTAGTCTCCTATTTAAAGAAGAACAGCTCTAAAGAAAGACTCTGAGACACTTTCCAGGATAGAGCACTCAAGAAGCTGGTGGGTCAGTGGACCCTGGGTTCTTATCTCTGACACAAATTGAGCAGTGTGATTTGATAAAGCATATCTTCTAGCTCTCAGGAGACCATTTTCCATTAAATGTCTCTCTGCCTTCCTAATTTTTTTATGAAATGGGTGACCTTGTTAATTGACATACCTGATTTGTGGGAATCCCTAGCAGAAATTAGCACCCAGTGACCACCTGATGATCCAGACCCTGACTTGGACAAGCCTCACACACAGCCCAGAACTCAGTGTTTTTCTGCTCCGCCTCTCAGGATAGCTAGTGATCTGACCCTTTCTATCAAGTGTTTCTGAAGTTATATAGGCTCTTTTGACTGTTGTGTGTGCAACGTGTAACAAGGTGACAAATTTGGGCAGATGAAGTGCTGGTTCTCCTCCCAGGCATTCTCCTGCAGGGGCTGCGGCCACATACTTTAAATGCTAATTATTTCAGTTTATTTGAGGAGTGAAGGACACCATAAAGTTCAACAGTAAACGGATTATCCGCTCCCTCCTAGGCACTGGTTTTGTCTGTTATCTGGATTTTCTAATCATGGTGAAATTACAGCCTATTCAGAACTAGAAACATCAGGCACATAGGGAGCCAAAAAACAACCAGCCCAAACTCAAATATTATAATTCCACCAGAACAAAGCTAGGACATGAATGAACACTTTGAGGTGGGTTTTGTAATCCAGAAAAGATCCCAATGCACACATAACTCACCTCTTTCTGTTTTATATCTCACTGACAAGGCAGTTCTGAGAACAAGAACATAACAACTTTTCAGAATTACAGATGCTTATTCAAACTTTTTCAATTGCTCTTTCTAATTTGAGCACACATCATTATGTTGTAAAACTGTGGTAGAGTTGTGTAACAGTTTTCCCACATTCACAGTAATTTTACTTTCACTTCTAATATATTGAGCAACGTCATAATTAGGCCTTCTATAGTTTATCTACATAAACAATTTTAGTTCCATTTTTGCTGATCAGATTTTTTTATTATTATTACAAGAATATGTAGCATGCCAAAAGTAAGAAAGAGGGCATATTTAGGGGACCTAGAGGAGACATGAACAATGTCAATGATATTCCAGTAAGTAGCAGTGCTGTATCTCGTATT